TAGAGCATCGTTCTAGAAATACGAAGGTCGCGGGTTCGGATCCCAGCCGCGGTCAAGTAGAATTTTCAGCTTGCCCGGCCGTTTGGTATACACTCGTATGAAAACAACTCAAAAACCACTACATAACGTTACACGAGTGGAATCGTAAACGTGGGAAACCACAACATTCACATACAACAATACCAGACTAATAGCTAGCTTTACGTATTGAAGGACTACAGGGTGTATCAAAATAAACGCAATTCATCTCTTGTGCTTAATAACTTTCGAAATACTATTTCTAGTTAAACGCTTTTAGGCTTACTTCAAAGCCTGTTCTTTTCTCTTTCAAACAAACTATTATCCTTGTCTCCAATGCTAGTAATAATTGCACAGGAAAAGATTTAGTAAAACCTATCATTTTTAGTTGCTGTTTAATTATGCAAGTTTACTATGTTATTGTTTATAGTCGGTTTAAATGTTAGAATTTTCTTCTTTAAACTTTAATGTTGTCGTCACTACATCTGGAAAACCACGTAAGAACAAATTAAAAGTATTTTAAAAGAGACCAGGTTGTTTGAAAATTCTAAACGAATGCTAAAAATCGTCAAAACACTCTGGTGTCTGAGCCAGAGTGTCATCGAATTGCGATGTAATGTAAACAGAAATTATAGCCGCAAGTTGATGTCAGTCAGCTTAGATGGTCCAAGTCAAAATTATATCGCATTTGAAGTTTCAAACTGAGTTAAAAATAGTGGAAGAAAAGCCGTAATTATATTTATTGTTACAATCCATTTAATAAGATGCAACATTTTTTTGTTTTAATGAAAAAATCAGTTATTTTCATGAGAACGATTTGTTATTCCATCTCAATTTTTTTAATCTCCAATCGCAATAACGTAAATTATTATTACCCGCGAACCAATGAGTCAAATTTAAGAAACAACGCACTGTTAGAAAGCTGAATGGCTGTGCTTTAAAATGAATGTAAACTTTAACGTTTTCGTCTATTATTTTTTTTAGCAATTTACATTTCAGTCGAGGATTGCGCTTTTTTTGATACACCCTGTATACCTCCGAAATGCAACTAACATCATAACTTAACAAGCCGCTCTCAGCTTGACCTTGTAGCTCAGACGGTAGAGCACCGTTCTAGAAATACGAAGGTCTAGGTATATATATATATATATGTAATGTTTAATAAACGAGCAGGAGTGTTTTATTAGGTTTAAAGTGACGAGCGCGCAGCGCGAGTGGCTTTAGACCTAATAAAACACGACCTGCCAGTTTATTAAACGGCTTCAAACATGATTACAAATTCAATAGATATATTGCCTTATTAGTATTCTTTATATACAGAATACTAATGCATGCGCACACGACTAGTATGAATGCCCACTAGTATGAATACAACGGCGCTCTCAGGTCCACAAAACACACTGTTTCCATCGGTCTCAGCAAATAAGTGATAATTGTTATATAGTTAGTGTCAAAGTTAAATTTTTCTGTTTGCGGATTGGCCAAAACCGTGTCATGCACGTGCCGGTCCACAAATAACCGGTGAATATATATATATATATATATATATATATATATATATATATATATATATATATATATATATATATATATATATATATATATATATATATATATACATGTGAGAACGTCTGATTGGTTGATGGATTTCAGTATGTTGGTTGCCATTAGTTACTATCGAATGCGGGTGATTATTGTTATCATGAGACGGTATAGGGAAGGAAGTTGAGGGTGGGTTAAAGGTTAATGAAGATGAATTAGGAGATTTGTGAGAGCGTTTCAGTTGTAAGTAAATTGTAGGGATGTCAATGTGACGGTTAAATGTTTGTTTGTCTAAACTATGCCACGCTTCTTTAAACTCACGGGCATGTTTAGTAGTTGCTTGTCCTAGGCATCTCGTTTGAGACCACTCGAATTTGTGTCCGTTGTCGTCTGTGTGTTTAGCTGGAAGTGAGCTATGGTCGTGTCTGTTGATTGCGTTCTGGTGTTCTGTTAGTCTTGTCTGAATCTACTGTATAATTTTGTAAAAATTATAATTTAATAAAATGCCTGGATTACAAATCTTCAAATCTATTAAATATATATATATATATATATATATATATATATATATATATATATATATATATATATATATATATATATATATATATATATATATATATATATACCCATAGAAATAATCATAGCTGCTTTCAAGTCAAACTCGTCTACCTTTCCATTATATCGATTACAGTTTTTAAACAGTTTGACTGAGGAGCATGTTTCCAGCCACCCATGCAACATACAGCAGCTTATATCATAATGAAATGTAATGTGACTTACCATTTCATTCCGGAGCTGATTATGAGTTCGCCGTCATTTTCAGTGGATTTCTAATGTGATATTATCCCGAACAGTTGGTGCCCCCAGCAACACCGCTACAAGGAAATGTTTAACAAAATATCTTCAAGACTCAGGCTAAAACGTGAAACCCCTAATCCTTATGGTGTAATTCAGTGCCTTTGACAATGCCGGGCAGTGTCCCCAGCAACACCGCTACAAGGAAATGTTTAAAAAATATCTTCATCTACATATATACTGTACTGGAGTGCCATATATAAATTTACTTATTGTTTACAAAGGCGTTTCGCAAGTCGAGATTATTGAAGCTTATAGCAAACTGTGTGGCACAATATGTTCTCTGAAATCTACATATGCACGAGATCTTATATTTTCCTGTGTAAACGGGAAATTCTTATTTTTGGATTTTGCTGCCATCTGACAGTTGCGTGCCATCATTGGATCCAGTAAACAGTCTCTGATCGTCTAATCAGCGTCTGTATACTGGATATATTGATGGTAAAGCACCGGTCAAACGAGGATGAGAGACGACTGCAGAAGTGGATGATACAGAGGTCTTATATGGCTATTCCTCACACCACCCAGCACTCCGTACCCGTTCAGTTCAATCATTGCTGCTATATTACCGTCCTGGCCAAAGTGCCGATTGTGGAATTGACATGACAGGCGTTCTGCAAGTCGAGATTATTGAAGCTTATATCAAACTGTGTGGCACCATATGTTCTCTGAAATATACATATGCACGAGATCTTGTCTTTTCCTCTGTAAACGGGAAATTCTTATTTTTGGATTTTCCTGCCATCTGACAGTTGCGTGCCATCATTGGATCCAGTAAACAGTCTCTGATCGTCTAATCAGCGTCTGTATACTGGATGTATTGATGGCAAAGCACCGGTCAAACGAGGATGAGAGACGACTGCAGAAGTGGATGATACAGAGGTCTTATGGCTATTCCTCACACCACCCAGAACTCCGTACCCGTTCAGTTCAATCATTGCTCCTATTTTATATTACTCTCCTGGCCAAAGTGCCGATTGTGGAATTGACATGACAGGCGTTCTGCAAGGCGAGATTATTGAAGCTTATATCAAACTGTGTGGCACCATATGTTCTCTGAAATATACATATGCACGAGATCTTATATTTTCCTGTGTAAACGGGAAATTCTTATTTTTGGATTTTGCTGCCATCTGACAGTTGCGTACCATCATTGGACCCAGTAAACAGTCGCTGATCGTCTAATCAGCGTCTGTATACTGGGTATATTGATGGTAAAGCACCGGTCAAACGAGGATGAGAGACGACTGCAGAAGTGGATGATAAAGAGGTATTATGGCTATTGCTCACACCACCCAGAACTCCGCGCCCGTTCAGTTCAATCATTGCTGCTATATTACCGTCCTGGCCAAAGTGCCGAATGTGGAATTGACATGGTAGAATACCTTACCAGAAATTTAAATAGACTACTCTGTGAGCGACCATCGTCCGCAATTGTATAATTGCCGGAGGTTTTTAACAAACTAAACCTCGCCCGTTTATATGTAACCGTTTCAATCTTGAGAAATCTGTCCTTGCCCCAACTAGATGAAATAAGACAGCGGATCAAGTCCTGACGAATATGCAAGACATGTATAATCCGACGGTCCATCTGCTACCACTTGGGCATTCTGATCACCAATGCTTTCTCCTTGTACCAAAACAGAAAGAGAAACTACAACCAGCCTACCTCAAACGGGTAAGACTTTGTATGGCAAGCTTCATCAAAACAAAGATTAAAGCTAGACAGCGTGCCTTCTCTCGTAATGATCAAGTGCGATATGAATTAATTATACGTCACCGTTTCAAGCCTCAGGC